CGGCTTTTTTCTTTTTGCTTATGTGGTGCTGAGGAATCGCACCCAGGGCCTCAGGCATGCAAGGCACGCACTCTACCACTGAGCCACCTTCCCAGCCCCTACTTTGTTATTATAGAGGTAATGTACAGAAGGATTACATTTACATGAATCAGGTTAAGAGTACATTCTTTTGTGCAGTGTCTTCTGTTCCCTCATTCTCTCCCAGTCCCTCCCTTCCATCTCCACCCACAAGCTTTATAGTTCTTTAACCAGTGTCCAGTGAGCTCCACTTCTGTACTTTTTCACCCTTTTTCCCCTAATGTCCATACCCCCCAACCCTCCTGAAGATATATACATGAATACACCATACATAAGGTAAACAAGGCAGAATCATAAAAATATTAATAAATTAATTGAAAAAAGAAAATATGCATTAAAGTGATTGGCCCCAAGTATTATTTAGCTCAATTTAAAGTGGAATAATAAAAACACAGTTAATAGATTTGCATTACCTGCATCCAAAATACATTTCCAGTATTCATCTTTTGCTAAGCAAATTACTTCTAAGGACATGACAGCCATCATTCTTCGTTTAAAATTTTCACATTGTAACATTTCTGGAAAGTATTCAACAGGAAAAAAAACAAGCTGTAACTTAGCAAGAGGTAAAGGATTCATTGATGGTTTTATTTCAACTCAACAGTTGAGAGTATCACCTTGACTGCTAAAACTGCATGCATTACATTCCCTCTGGGCATGCCCCTCTGTGAGGTGATGAACAGATTCATATATGCTATAATTTTAATCTGAAATGTCCCTCAAAGGTAGGTAGTTACCTACCTAAGCATATTATGTTGGGAGATAGTGAAACCTTTAAAAGGTGGAACCTTATAGAATATTTTTGGTGATTGAGTCATGAGCTTGAAGGGGATTGTGGGTCTATACCCCTTCATTTTCCTGTTTCTGTATTTTCCACACCTAAAGGTGAATGGACTTCTGCTACAGTCTCCTGCTATAGTATACTACCTCACTACAGGCCTAAATGCAATGAAGACAGCCAATTAAAGACAAACTTCTAAGTCTGTGAGCCACACAAGAAACAAACAACACACACACACACACAAACCTTTTCATTTCATGATTTCATTATCTTAGGTATTAGTTATAATTAAAGAAAGCCAAAAATACATCTATGAAGGTTTATCCTGTGTATAGCTAATGAAAAACTAATCCTTAAATTCTTTCTTTGGCCTAAGTAACTTAAGACTGGCTGGACATAAATGCAAATAGTACATCTTTCTCCTTCCTAAAATATATTCTGAATATAAATTGTGTGTGGGATTTCAAAGATGGAAAAGTACACTTCATTATCATTAATACATTTTTAATAATGATCAAGTTAGACATGAAGTTTCATTCATTTATTGAGTATGAAAAATATGTTTAAAATCTGGGATGAATTTGTAATCTAAACAGAAGATAATATGTATGTTTCTCAACCATACCTTTGAACTGAGAAAACTCCATACCTGTTACTATTCTTCATTTATTTATTCAACTACTGTCTGACCATATTTGTCAAGATTTTATCTTAGCTAGATTATTCTATAAAACTCTTAAAATTCAGCTTCCACTCCAAGGGCTAATCCTGGAAACTTCTATTTTGGGGGGGGGGTCCAGTCGTGGGGCCTGAACTCTGGGCTTGGGCACTGTCCCTCAGCTCTTCAGCTCAAGGCTAGCACTCTACCACTTGAGCCA